GGATTTCATAAGAAGGACCAATATAGGGTAAAGCATCATTTTGAAGTTCTAAGCATAATACATAAAATCCATCCATCCATCCATCCATCCATTTTCTTCCGCTTATCCGGGGTCGGGTCGTGGGGGCAGCAGCTTCAGAAGGGAGGCCCAGACTTCCCTCTCCCCAGCCACTTCTTCCAGCTCCTCCGGGGGAACCCCAAGGCGTTCCCAGGCCAGCTGAGAGACATAGTCCCTCCAGCATGTCCTGGGTCTTCCCCGGGGCCTCCTCCTGGTGGGACGTGCCCGGAACACCTCACCAGGGAGGCGTCCAGGAGGCATCCTTACCAAATGCCCAAGCCACCTCAACTGGCTCCTCTCGACGTGGAGGAGCAGCTGCTCTACTCTGAGTCCCTCCAGGATGACCGAGCTTCTCACCCTATCTCTAAGGGAGAGCCCAGCCACCCTGCAGAGAAAACCCATTTCAGCCGCTTGTATCCGTGATCTCGTTCTTTCGGTCATGACCCAAAGCTCATGACCATAGATGAGGGTGGGAACGTAGATCGACCGGTAAATCGAGAGCTTTGCTTTTTGACTCAGCTCTCTCTTCACCACGACGGACTGGTACAGCACCCGCTTCACAGCAGACGCTGCCCCAATCCGCCTGTCGATCTCCCAGGCGGATTGGGGCAGCCGCCTGGGAGATCTTCCCTCCCTTCTTCCCTCATTCGTGAACAAGATCCCCAGATACTTAAACTCCTCCACTTGAGGCAGGACGACCCCCCTGACCCGGAGAAGGCACTCTACCCTTTTCCGTCTCGAATATCCAGTTTTTTAATATAAATTTATGCCTTTAAATATTGAAAATTGGATTTTCAGTATTTAATGAAATTTATGACTTTTCAACCCAACAGAACATTCAACTTTACTCATGTATAGATGTGAAATTAGTCTAAAAATTATGGAGATTTTGGGTGGTAATTTAGTCCTCTGTTTCTAATTATATATTTTTCTTTTATCTCCAATGACCCTAACGCTCTGTTGTATAAAAGAGGTATCACAACATTCTCGTTATTGTTTTTTTTTTTTTTTTTTTACATAGATTCCTTTCGCATAATCAGGAGGGTTTTCCTTTACTAGTACTGTAGACTGTCAGTCATGTGAAAGAGACACACCTGGTCCTGTTTTTGAAAAGATTGTTTTACTTTTCTGTTTTTGTTAGCATGTCATAACAGTCATGACTCTGTCACACAGCAACAGTCTTCAGTCAGGGGCCTCTTGTGATTCACTGGAAGACAGACTGCTACTAAAGATCCTTCCTGCCCACAGCATCACTGCCCAAGAAAGTGGGATTATGAGTTACTTACGACAGTACTTATTTTCTTTTTTGTTACTTTTAACTGAACTGAATTTAAGTTAGATTGGGAAAAATCACATTTTTAATTCCTCCAGATAGGTCGTTCACTGTTCAATGTTTTATATAGTACTTAGAGTTAAATAGGAACTAACTTATTTAACTCTAAACTAGTTAAATAAAGCTAGGTCTCATTTAAGAACCAGCTTAAACAAGCTAGTTCTTTAAGCTAGCTCTTAAAACTAGCTTATTTAAACTAGTTTTTTATCAAAGAACTAGCTTAGTTCTTATCTAGTTCAGGTCAGACATTTACAAAAATTGGAATAAAAAAAACCCTTTGATGTGACGTCATAAGGAAAGAAAAATATAGGATTAGAGTGTCATCACAGTTTGTCTCAGTTCAGAAGTAAGCTTCTTCTGTGTTTCAAGATCCTAACGACGTCACCGCATGGAGAGAAGTCGACTTTCTGCCTTTTCTCGCCTGTCGATATGTTTTTGGATGAGTATTTGATCAGGGCGGAGCGAGGGTGGGGGGGCGCGCCGCTGACAACAATCACATGATTGCCTTTGTTGCTTTTCATGCAAATATATTTACAATGGATTCAAAGAAGAGAAAAAAAAGGTTAAAGGGTGAAGAAACAACAACACTGCAGATGCATTTACAGGCACACCCAGTCAACTCACACACACACACACACACACACACACACCCAGTCAGTGTGCAAATCACATGAGAAACCTGAAGCTGAAGGCTACCAGGCTCATAAAGCTTCCTGTTGCAGAGCGGGGAGATTCGTGTGAGCCTCTGCCGTCTTTCCTCAGGGTGTGCCACGCCACCACCCGCAACACTGGATGTTTTCATTTCACCCAAAAATAAATAAATAAAATAAAATAAATGAGCACCCATTTAGGATGCGGAAAAAACCCTGTGAGCCTTTGTATTCCCACCGAGCGAACCACAAGACAGGGACGGTCCGGCGCCATGTGACTGCATCCCACTGCCAGCTTCCAGGGGAGAACAACAGGAAGATTCAGCGATGCTCAGAGTTCCAGCGTTTCCCCGCTCCTTCTTTATGCCTCAAGGGTAGAGACTCTAAGCCTTGCATAATGCATTATGAAAAGAAATATTTATCCCTCAAAGATCCTGGCAGCAGACTGGGGACATTTTTTTCTAACACCTACATACTGTCACAAGGTGTTTCCCACAGGGATGGAACGATTAATCGGAATAATCGCGTTGAATCGATTATTGAGATAATTTAGATAATTCAGCTAATTTAGTGATCGATTCAGCGTTAAATGGAGGACTCAAAAAAAGAAGTCGTTTTCTGAAAGAGCAACGTACTCAGAGCAGTAATTAATCCATAACTGTACAAAAAATTATATAAAGTTTCTATACACTATGTCGAACAGAAACATGTTGATGTTAGAAGTAATGTTTTAGCTGCATCCTTTGCTGCAAATGACCAAGCTTACTCCACAGGAATGCTATTTTATTGAAATTAAGCAATAAAATTTTTATTTCTTTTATAAAAAAAGGAACAATATTATTTATTTGGATGTTTTAATGTAATTCTAATAAAACAATTAGCTGAATGTGGCAATTTTTCATCCAATTAAAATGTCAGAATAATAGATAGACTAACCATAACTAAAATGATCGTTAGTTGCAGCCCTGTATCCCCATAATCTATAACATTGCTTCCATTAATAGACAATTTGAATACAATTAATTGAACTCCAGTGCGTTTTGAAGTACATTTTTCACTAATTCCTAGCTAATATCCTGCTACACAATGCACCGTCTTGCTATGAGAGGATGCTGCCCAGCTGCTCACCTGGTGTTGGTTGTAATTGTTCCTCTGCTGCAGGAAGGCCCCCTGCTGGGGGTGCATCTGGGGACTGACCGGGGACCTGCGGCTCTGCGGCTGCTGAGGAACGTTCATCTGAGGCGAGAACGGACCGCCGAAGCCCTGCACGTTAATCCCGGCGCACGGATTAGCCGACACCGGCGAAAAGCTCTGGAAGAAGGCCGGGTTGATGGAGGACGGGATGCCCGGGTAGAAGCTGTTCTCGGAGTCCGTGCTGGGCATCTGGCTGATGGCGTTCGCGTGCATGGGGTTGATGGAGTTGGCCGCCGGTGGGGGCGAGGAGCTGGTCTGCACGGACCAAGGGGTGCCGAAACCGGGGAGGGAGGGCGAGGACGGGCCGCTCTGGATCTCCTGGGAGGAGGGCAGGTTGGGGAAAGCGGCGCTGAGACCCCCGGACAGCATATTGCCGGTGCTGCTGCTGCTGCCATTGCCGTTATTCAAGTGGTGGGCGATGGGGGAGTCCATTTGGATCTCGTTCAGATTTACAGAGGGAGGCGATGGCGTCGCAGCATCGGCTTCGGCCGCCTCCACAGCAGAGTCGCGGGGGTCAGCGGCGCTGGAGAAGGGCTGCAGGTGACTGAAGCGCCCCTGGGGCGGGGGGGACTGCTCGGCCGGGGTGAACTCTAACTGCTGATGTATGCTTCGCTGAAGGTCACAGAGGGACTGCGTGTGGGAGAAATGCTCGGGGAAAGCGATCTTCTGGGTTAGGTGGCTGTAATCCGACGTGAAGGAGCTCAGCTGGCTCTCGGTCTGGATGGCTTGCTTCGCGGATTTGCTGACCGAGCCGCTGCTGCGGTCCTCCTCCTCGGCTGATGGGGGTAACTGCGCGGCTGTCACCCCCACAGGCTCATCCTGCATGTTGTGCTGATGCGCAGTAGCTGACAGGAAAAGAGGGACGCAGCGACGCTCGTGAAGGGCGAACCGAGGAATAAATTACTCTCGGGGAAACTGGCAGGGCGAGGCGCCGTATCCGTGCGGCGGCTAATTCTACGAATACCAAATTCGACGTTTTAATTCAGCATAAAAGCGTTTTAAATAATGTGTACATTCGACCGCCCGTGTGTCTGCGTGTGGTCCTTTCAGCGGGGGAAATATGAGTGAATTGGCTGGAGGTGGAGGGGGTCAGGCCTAGGCAGAAATACTCGCCTGGTTCTCGTCGTAATCTCTCCTCGTCTCGGCGGTCTCACTATCTACCTAAACACCGAGCTGTTTCGGCCTGGTTACGCGTATCCTAGCCGGCGCGGCCCATTCCTGTCCGAACCTTGCTGCCCCCCTCCTCCGGTGACCGGCTGGGCTGCTGCGGCAGAGGATTAAAGATCCCCGACTCAAACCACGTCACGGCCGCATCACGCCTCCGTGCGCCCGCCTCGAGCCTGGAGCCGCAAAGAGAGCCGCATTGTTTACGTCACTTTTTCATTATTCATAAAGTGCAGTAGGCCTACACACCCTCACTACACCCCCTAAAGTAGCCTACAGCTGGGCGAGGCACCATATATTACCGTATCGTTGATTAATCCTGCCTTATGGAAGTGTATTCAGTCAATGAACGCAGTCACAAGCCTGTACATAGCCTACAGACTACATTGCCGAACGCCAAAAGTGCCACAAACATAAATATATACATGTAATAATTATTTTTAAATGTCAGTATAAAAATGTAAAAGAATTTGGAAATATACATTAAACACCTGGTTACATTTAATTACATATGTCACTTGATTATTTTAAATGATTTAAGTCTAATTATATGGATTAAAAGTAAGTCAGACTAAAATTATTTATTTTTTATTTTATTACAGCAGTTTCATGGTTCCTGTTTTCCACTGTGCTATGCTTAGGGGCTTGTGTAGAATGTTTTTATTTTGGTGCTCTAAAATGGCTATTTTTGTATGGCCCATCAATCATTTAATCACACAGTTAAGTAGTCATTTATTGATTTGTTATTTTGATTATAGTATTTTTGGCTCAGCATCAGTCAATGAGAGGGGGTCACACTACAACTGTTAAGAGCGGTTTACCTGTAGTTAACTTGCTGGACAGGTTAACAAATTAAGCATCACAGTCTACTAAAAGAGCCACAGTGGGATTTGAAACTATTTCATGGTATGCAGCAAAAAAGAACCATAAAATTATTAAATAATACTATAATAACATGTAACTTTAATGTGTCTTAAATTTTTATGTTATTGAATACAAAATAATGATTAACTTTTAGATTTCCATAACTGACACATTAAAAATAAATAGGCTCTTTGTACATATTTTTATATGAATTTAATCTACTTTATTGAATTTCGTACTTATTAATCATATAAATATACATATAATGACCTTCTTGTTTATTTGATTTTGACACTTTTGTTCTTCCATAATGAACCATTGTAGAACATTGTGGACTATTTAATTTCTTAAACTATTGTTATTCTAAATGACATGTTCTATTCAGAATGAACTATTTCAAAACCCAATTTCATTTTTAAAAAAATATTTTATTTAGCAATTAACCTTGAATTTGGCCAAAATTCCGTTTTTGTTCTCAGTTCCTCGCTGTAAGCCTAAATATCAAAAGGCTACATTTTCCTGAGCTCCTGCCAATCAGTATTCAGTTCACAGCCACCGTGCGTACGTCTGCGGCAGCGTCACGTTACGACGCCAGCTTCTAAATATAGTTTTCTATGTCAGCTCTTGATGTGGGGGGAGACAAATCTCAGTCGATGGACAAGCAACCCCACCACATGATCTGCCTCCTAAATGGCCATCACCGGCAGCCCCGGGCCTGCATGGCTGCTGGGGAAGTCTATTTCTGTGCAGATGGAAGGATTAGATTGTGAATCCTATACCTGACAGAGGACGGGGGAAATAAAAGTCATAGGTTCAATAACATGAATTCAATTATTGCCCTTAATTTTTTCCTTGTTAGCCTTAGAGGTCAAGGATAATAATAATAATAATAATAATAATAATAATAATAATAATAATAATAATAATAATAATGATAATAATGATAATAATAATAATAATAATAATAATAATAATAATAATAATAATAATAATAATAATAATAATAATAATCTTATATTTTTTGGGTTTTGGATTATTGTAATTTTTTGAGCAATTGATTTTCTTTTGAGTAGTTTATCCAAGCATCAACATTAAAATGAAAATCAGAAAAAGTTTATTTGACAAATGAGAAATGTCCTAGGTTGTGATCTATAATGTATCCTGAGCTCAGATTCAAGCAGTGACAATAAATAGGTGCAAAACATATCTTTAGATTGTGACAATATTAATATACCTACAAATGTTTTAATAACTCCTTTCTGTATGAACTACAGAAAGGAGGCCAGTATTTGAAAGAGCACAGAAATTCACATTGAAAAAACCAAACAAAAAAAAACCAAACAAAAAAAAACATATATATATGTATATATATGCAACTCATTTAATGCAACTCATTAAAACATAAACTATTCTGTAATATATTTGTAATAATGACTAACTAACATAGTTAGTTTCACTGGGGAGCAACTGGTGTTGCCAGAAAAAGTCAGCCACATCCCTGGCCTCCTCCGGTGGCGACGCTCCTTCTTATGACAAAGTGCTCTGTGTTTATTGTGCCTGTCCGGCAAAGTGTTGTGTTAACATGGCATCGTGTTTGTTTGAGAACAGCGTGTCGGGGATCGTCACAAGACAGAGTCCAAGAACACGTCCTTGTGGTACACCCAGTGTGTCAGTCTCCCATCTGGTCCCAGCTGTCATACTTATAGCTTATTTAGCCACAAACTGCAACCAAAAGTTGCTTACTGACAAAAAGCCACAAGTTTGCCATAATTACATTTTGCTGTTTGTTGCAACACTGAGACAAGGTTTTCTGAAATAAATGCATCGTCATCGATTGTTATTCCGTTCTGGTTGGGGGATTGCTTCCCCCCCACGGTGTGAACTCATCACCCCTTCTTCTCCAAACCCTTGACGTCTTACTTCACCTCCTCCCTCCTCTTCCTCCTCCTCGCACCTTGAGCTGCTTTCCAGCTGTAAGCGAACACCCCAATAATCGGGGTCCCAGATGGGACGGTCCAACCAGTGGGAGAGCGGGGGCAGGTGTGGTGGTTGCTGTATAGCCGGTGAGCACCAGTGATTAGCCAGGCCCCGTAAAGTGCTGGAGGGAGTTCACAGAGTGCAGCCTTTCCAGCAGCTGGTGTCTGATGGTGAGGATGAGCTGGGGAAACAGGGAGGGTGGGGGGGGCTCGGCCTTTCCGAGCGGGACTGCGGAAGGGAAGTAGAAAAAAGGAGGCGGATCCCAACGAGGCTGCAGAAATAGAAACGTACATCAAAAAATGCAGCCTGAGCAGAATCCCTATTTAGTCGCTGTCTGTAAAGACTTGATGACAAAGTGTAGAGCGTTCATTTTAGTTCATATTTTCAAACCAAACCAACGTAAAGCTGCAACATACACTTTAATGAAGTTTACGTGTGCTGCTGCTCTCTCTTATCAGCAACACACCTGGCCTTTCAAACCATATCAAATTTCAACATGCTCCTGCAGCCAGCTCTATTTAGGCCTGTGCCACGCTGCAGCTGCAGTCGTCATAGCAACAGGTAATCTGCATCTCCTTTTGTATGCCTGATTAGTCTGTTTAGACTAAAGGCTCTGTGTCAGACTCTGTGTGTGTGCTTTAAGAGGGCCGGGCTAGTGCCATTGATCAGCTGGCTGAAAAAAAAAAAAAAAACATCCATCAGTGCTGATGAGGGCTTTTGGATTGACATGGTCTGTTCCACCTCCTTTAATTCAATCCCTGCTTACCGACGTCACCTGGTTACGAAGACGTCGTTAGGCTGAGTTTTGTGGATCTCTAGAAAATCAGCATCCTATAATCCGATAATTAACTCGTGAGATTCACATTCACATCCATTCACATCTGTAACTCCATTCACAACACTTCTTTAAAGAAATCTCTATAATATGGGTTATGACAACATTTAATTAATCAAGGTTTTTTTTTTTTATTATGTCGATTCGGATGTCAATAGTGATCTACTTTTGCAGGCTCAAATTTCTCAGTACCAACAGTGAGATTGGTGCATATTATGGAGCAAATTGTGGCAGATGACAAAGTTGGTCTCTTTTGTATGGAATCATGGGAGTGCCAAAAGTAACAAAATAATAATAATAATAATAATAATAATAATAATAATAATAATAATAATAATAATAATAATAATAATAATAATAATAATAATAATAATAATTCTGCACCCTTAATTTTTCTTCTTGCTTGTACACTTTACTCTGAGAATTTATCCCAGGCTGATTCAGGAAAGATTATATGAACAATTAAAAGACAGCAACTCACTCGTTAGACAGGGGAAGCACGGGGATATGGATGAAACAAAAACAAAATAAAATAGTGGTAAAAGTGTCTCTGAACAATTGTTCTATATTTTACACCAAGTATAGTCAAGTTTGATGTAATTTAATTTAAACATATACAATATCCATTAACTTTTTGATACTTCCCATAGCCTTGCTAGTAGCATGCAAACACCCAGATACAAAGATATGTAGGAATTTGGCGATTTTTCTGAAACAAAAAGCCATTTAAAAAATAGAAACAAAATGCACCTATTAATCAGCCACAGATACAAATCTGCCCTTTTTAAAAATAAATCTACTGTGATTGGTGATTGGCAGGTCCAAACGGTGACAGACGTGACCTTTTCTTTCTGCTAACTAAATGAATCAAAACTAACAGCTCCCACCATTTTCTACCAGTTTATTGACTAATAGCATGTACTTTGATGCATTTTGTTTTGCAAAATGAAGGAAAATAAGCTAAAATGAAGGGACATACATTTTCCTAAATAACCTTCTGCACATTTTGTTTTTTGTAGAATCGGAACCAGTCATGATCAGAACCGGCAGGTCAGGCCTCATAAAGAGAGAGAGAAAAAAAGTATTAGTGTATTTATCTCAAACAGCAATTAACAGTTGCTCTGCATGAAGCGGTTTTTAACAATAAATAATTTAACTGTTTGTAGTTGAATTATTTATTGTTACTATGCTATAGTCCACAGGGGGCTTAGGGAATTTGCTAAAAGTAAAAAAACAACTAAACGTCTTTTTGTGTCTTTTTGTCCAGAATTTTCAGCATATAATGGAAAACTTACCGTGTTATATGTCTCTCACCTCTGATCCAGTGCGATGTACAAAGTAACGGATTGCAGTTACTTTGTATATCATTACTTTGGAATGATCCAATCGGCAGATATGAACTCAAAATAGAGAGCCTTCTGTCCTGTTTTTCCTGAGTTAGATGAACTTTCAGAACTTAAACATGAAAATTATTCTAATCAGAAGATCTAAAAGTAGATAAAACCAAAGCTAATTTGTTTTGCTCCTTTGACATAAAGGGACAGAGGAAATGTGTTTGTATACATTTTGGAGTGTTGGACATTGAACCTTTTTATCAAAAGAAACGGTAGAAAATGAATGTTCCATCTCT